AATCTCAAATGTTGGAGACAACCAACTAATTAATTACCTGTCCGAAAACTTTATAAAAAGCTATGAGCTGATCACGTGACTTTCAAGGCCCCAAGTCCCTAGTCATTTCATTAAACACATTGATGGCAAGTATAGAAGAGAAAGGCTCTGCAGATGGAAGAGAAGATCACACACAAGATGGGACTGTGGATCTCAAAGGTAGACTAATTTTACGATCAAAGACTGGGAGATGGAGAGCTTGTTCCTTCATTTTAGGTGTGTAATGTACTCCCTAGTTTTTGTTCTTCAAATATTTGTAAGGGCCCCTTAGCTGGGAGCAAAACGTGCATATCCCGGAGGTGTACATCTGTTTGTAAGTTTATTTCTCTTTGCACGTGATTTGTCGTGTAAGGAGATAATTAGACTGAGCATGGGTTAAAAAGTAAGTCTCGTGATCAAAATCATCCTCCATTTCACTATGACGAATCAATATGTATGATTTTTTTTGTTGATGTTGGGTGTGTTTGATTAATTTGTAGGGCTCATACTATGGAATTGCATCAAACTTGGTGATTTATTTGACAACGAAGCTCCATGAAGGCAATGTAACCTCTGCCAACAATGTTACCAACTGGGTTGGGACTGTGTGGATGACACCTCTGTTGGATGCTCATCTTGGCCGCTACTGGACTTTTGTTATTGCTTCTTCCATATATCTTGTGGTACGAATTAACTCAATTCCAAGCACTTAATAAATTATATCCACATGCATATACATAATTTATCATTTCTCATGATAGAACTTGCATGCCAATATATGCACAAGTATATATGGATCATTAATTGTTGAACAAACCACAAGCATTATATATAAGTGATAATTTTCTGCTTAAATGTGATCACATCTCACCTTGGTGACGTGCAAGCTTATTAAGGGTTTTCTGTTTTTGTTTTTAAAAAAAAGTTATACTAAAAGGTTTTGGATCACAGATAATTTACAAGAATGAACTTAGTTGGTATCGAAAAAGGTGACGATAAAATCACCCTTAACTTATCTCATGCACTCCTCATTTGTGAATGGTAGAAGAGTGTGTGAGGTGAGATTTGTGTAAGATTTGCATTCTAAACCCTAAGGTGGTCTTCTAATCACTTAAGGATAACTAGTTCAATGTCAATTAGGATTACATGGATCGATTAATTTTAAGACTTGATATATGACTGTTTCAGATAAATACAAGTGCTTAAGGTTTCCTATTTCTAAATGGATTGAGATACCTAATCCTTTAGGTTAAAGGAGTTTAAGTAATCCATGATGAGGAGGATTCTTAAACTATGCCTATAAAAGGGAGGTCCCTATGCTAACGGCTATAACACATATTCTCATATCATTCTACCTCATCAAGAAGAGATTAAGGAGCTGTATAGCATAGAGAAACTACCCTACATAAAATCTGCCTAACCTGAGAACCAGAACCTGCTGTAGAGTTCCAGTGCAAGAAATCAAGGTTCCTGCTACAGTAATTCACACAATGTCGAATCAAGGTATGTGTTTTGAATATATAAACCTATTAAAGTTTACATACCACAGTCAGTTTAAAAAAGGGGAAAGGGCAAATTCTTTACTTATTCATGGTCACATTTTGTTAAATATAAACGGGCAAACGTTATGCTTGTTCACCTTTTGTCACATTATAAACAGGGCATGTGAGATGCACACTCACACAATAATCCTATATTCCGCATTTGTTTTTCTTTTTTTGTTTTCTTTTGTTTCTTATCTTTATGTAATGGTATTTTTAATTAAAGTCGCAATTAATAGCCTGAAATAGATTTTTTTTTTTTTCGTGGTCAGTCAGTTACAGTTTAAACATTTATATATATGAGATGACTGAATGTAAAACTTCTCATACAGTTAGTTGTAAGGATGAATATGCCATCAACATTAAATATGAGTGGCCTGCTTGAAGAGAAAGTCAAACTGGTATGGTGGACCAAAATCTGGTTAACCCGGGGGATTATCCATTTTTCGGTTTTCAAGAGATGGGTTTTTCAACAATCCTTTACAGCATATAATTTCAGTCTTTTGACATTTTAGCCCATTCCAACTGGCTCACTTTTACAGTGGTCTGGTACACGAAAGCCATATTTTTCTAGTTTTAATCGTGTTAATTAATTCTTTCAAGTCCAAAAAGTTTCAATTTAGCTGGTCTTGGGTCGACTTAATTTTATTTTATTTTTTTGTTAACAAAATATTAGCCCACCCCTTGTAAAATTTCGAGTTCCGCCCTTCTTGTTACATAATCCTCATTTTCTAGTTCTCACGGTTATTGCATGAATAATATAGTTCAAAAAGTAGGGGTAACTGATTTTTCAATAACTGTGAAGAAAAAATATATATTAAAAAAAACAAAAGAGCATCGATATAATATTGGACTTCATAAATTGTTCAAAAAGTAGCATTGAAAGGGATGACTTGGATGACCAAGTGACTGAAATGATAAGACAAGGAAAGAGGGTATTACGATGAATTAACCCATTAAAGAAAGATAGAGCCAAGTATGTGGAGATATTACTTCACGGTGGTGGAATGGAAGACTGGACTTGGAGAGAGGAGAGAGAGAGGGAGTGGGACCCTTGTTACTTAAGCTAGGACGACTTGTTAGCCGTCCCATTTACGTTCTAATTAATGATCATATGAATCTAATTTAGCTTAATTTGGTGTGTGTCAGTTTTGTCTATATTTGTATTCTGTGGACCATGTACGATCAGTATTTCCTATTGCTAATGCTAATTGTCTTATAAATTGTAATCACATTAGTGACTAGTTAGTCTATTTGCTAACTAAAGGACAAGTATGTTAGCGGCTGCTGTTCACGTCCATTCTATTTGCTTACTAAAAGATAAGTATGTTAGCGGCTGTCGTTCACGTACGTGCGTATATTTATCTAATATTGACACAGACCTACTTGCGTTAGTAGTTGACAATTACTCATGTGCACTAAATGCACTATGCATTGTGTATGTAGCAGTTTTTCCACACGATCGATGTCTTAATATCAAGATGATGATAGTGACACATATACACGAACAAAGATTAAAGATGTAGTGTACAATTTATATTAGCGAGGGTCGTTTGTACGTATAATTGTCAGTCTTATGCATATCCAGTTATATTAATAATCACATGCATTTAACCAACTATGTATGTAACATTGTTTTTTAAATGTCATGTTGTATCTCTTAAAATCTGAATGATGATATGGTTAGAAGTTGAGCTGGTAAAGCCTACAGAAAGTCAAGTTCATCCAAGAATTTCTCACCCCTTGTCTCTCCACTTCATCTTAACACAACCGTTGATTGACATCATATCACGGCCAACATACTAATACTTGGAGATTTAAAAGTGCAGCTTTCACCCCCATAACCTGATAGCCTAATTTCCTTTTTAACTCAAGGAAGGATGTTCCAAGGTAAAAAAAAAATAGCTAGTTGGGTCATGTGTACAAGTCGATGAGATTCTAACTCAACCTGACATACTCATTTCAAGTTTGAACTCAAATTCAACTAGATAGTATTCAAATAAACTCATATCGATCTTTAACTTGTAAAACCTCAAGTTGAGTTTATTCGTCTGGATTTATTAGGTTACGCTTAATCTCAAATTATTGATATGAGTTAAATTAGTTGACAATTGCAGTGTGCTCGCCCTTTTATACTCGAATTCGATCCTCCCCTATCCATTAATTGGTCCAATTTGATTCATGAACAGATATTGAATTTCTCATGACAAACTCATTGGAAGAAGTCTGTCTCATTTTGGATTAAATGTATCCACGTCAACATTGACTTCATGTCGAACTATTTGCAAAGTCTTTCTGAGGGCCGGGCCACAAATTGAGTAGCGAAGAAAGTTCCGACTTTTGAGTGATTGCCAGCCAGCGTTGCAGGTCAAGTCTACTGGTGTTCAAGTCGTTGCATGAGCACTCACCAAGTTTACTAGGTCAAGTCATTATTCCTTTTTTGACAAAAAAAAAAGTCATTGTTCCTTTGGTTAATTATGAATATGAATATTTGTTTGGCATCGAATATAAAGATTTCAACCTTAATTTATAGCTTACAAGCTTAGGAAAGATATTAAGTCTTGATTTTTAAAGTAATCATAGTTTACATGCCAATTATACGCTTGAATGGGAAAGAAGGTAAATTATTTTGGCAATAAAAAGAAAAGAAAAAGGGAAACTGAATATGCAATTAACAGAGACACGATATGTTTCTCGAATAAAAATTAGATACATACAATCTTGTTTGCTAAGATCATTGTACATAACGGGATAACTAAATTTATGGAATGTTGAAAAATATGAAAAGATTGTTCTATTGCGACATTGTTATTCATATATCTTCCTCTTTCTTTTATGATCTTGCAAATGAAATGAATTCACATTATGCAACAACCGACAATTGAATATAGTCATAAAATGTGATACATTATTCATTGATTTAGAGATAAGCACCAACAAACTTCAATGTTTTATACAAAGTATATTTTTCAATATATTTTTTTAAAATTTTGTAAAATGAGAAATTATATGAAATTGTTGTGAGCCACACGTGGTATAGGAGCTTCTAGGAAGTGAGGGACACTTTCCTTAGTGGTGCAGAGCGTATTTGTGGGTTTGAGTCTCGGCTCCACGATAGCAAATTTCCAAAAATGACCCCGGAAGAAAAAGCCAAATTATTGGGGCAGAGCGTAGTTATGGGCCTTTTATTAGACAAAAAGGTCAAGGCCCAGCCCAAAAAATGAAGAACAAAAAAGCCCGACCTACAAAAATATTTGAAAAAATAGGGCACGGAGCACAAAAGCGAGATAGCCGTTAGAGACAGACCATCGTGACTTTTCGGTGGTATTAAGATCCGACGGTCAGGAATTAGTAGCCGTTATATTCAAAACGAGACGAACACATGCCCTTCTCTCCCAATTCCGCTTTTTTATTTCTTTTTTCCTTTTATTATTCTGTTTCCTTCGAATATGAATCTGCTTAATAAATAAAAACCCATTTTAAAGAACCCAACAAGAAAGACAGAGACAGAGCGTAGAGAGGGAGAGAGAGAGAGAGGGAGGCTTGCCAAGGTCCTATGCCATTCACTTACCTCTCGGGATTTTGAAGATTGAAGCTAATTAGCTTTAATTTACAGTACTTTGATAAAGTTCCAGACTTGATTTCTCTCCAAGGTTAGTGGGTTTCTTTGGTTCTTTCATATTTGAAATCGGATGATCTGGGTTTTGTTCGTTTCAGTCTTTTTCTACTTCATCTTGGTCTAGATCATGGGTTTTCCCCCTTTTTTCTGTTGTATTTAGGGTGTTTGATTTTCGTTGTTTGATGATGGTTTCTGATTGGTTCTAATATGTTTCCCTTGATCTTAAAGGTGATCGAAATGGGTTCAAAGGAGAACAACCCAGGTCTCGTTAGGTCCTCAAATTTCCAAGGTATAGACCTAACAAAACCTTAAATTTAAAATGGCATTTTTTTTAATTTTGAATTTAAATTTATTTTGTTCATTTGTATTTATTTTCTTTGAAATCCTGAAAAAGGTCCAAGATTGGTGGGTACCAAGTTTGTGAAGGAGGTGGGGCCGATCCGTCGTCAGGCACTGAGAGATGTCCAAAACATCACCAGAGCTAACGTCAACCCTTGTGTTGTCAACAAAAGAGAATGTGCTGGGTTAGTGATATTTTCTTACAATCTGAATCTCTTTCTAAGTTTTTGTTTTGATATTTTATTCTTTTTGTAAAAATCTTTCATTTCAATTAACTAACGTGTGAGACCTTGGTCAATCGTTATTCAGGAAAGATGCGGCATGTGATAAAAATGTTGCAAATCTGCCACATAGACCAATTACAAGGTTGGAACTCACTCTTGTTTGATTTCCCTTTTTGTTATTTCCTTTTTCTCTCAAGAATTTAATTCTGATTTGTTGATGTTCTTATAGGAGGTTTGCAGCACAAATGGTCCAGCAGTGCCCAAAGGTAGACTGATGACCAAAAGCTTTTAATTCATCTATTCATTTGTTTTAATTGAAATTGAAATTAATATATTGGAGCTGGTTGTATGCAATTAGGAAACCAAGGAAGTGATTGTGTCTTCATTGGTTGCGAATCCGAGTGGTGTGGGGGAACTTGATCTGGAAACTAAGAAACTGAGCTCATCTACTGCCAATTCTAGTTGTCTGGTGGACTGTGAAATTGTCGATGTGGAGGATAATGAGGATGAGGCCTGTGATGCTCCTGTGCCAATGTTTGTGAAGCACACAGAAGCCATGCTAGATGAAATTGATAGGATGGTATGTGTGTCTTACTGTCTTGTACCGCCAGCATTTTTCTTCATGAAGAGTTCCTATTTTTATATATTGGAAAGCTAACTAGGTAGATGGTGTTGAATACTGCAGGAAGAGGATGAAGATGTAGAGGAACCTGTTATGGATATCGACAGTTGCGGCTTGAAGGATCCACTTAATGTTGTTGAGTACATAGATGACATCTATGCTCACTACATGAAAACTGAGGTATATTTCATTAGCTATAGAAAGCATACACTATACTATTTGTATTATATGAATTACTCCACATAAGTTCTGTTTTATCTTGAGGGTTAGCAATTTAAGGCATAGAATCTCAAGTTTTAATGAAAACAAATCTGTTTGGTCAGAGCTCAGGATTTTGAAAACGTTGCATTTTTGTGTTTCATCTGACTTCATGTAGCCAACCCGCCAACCCCAAATAGTTGGATAACTAGTCTGTTTGAGATGAGCTCAAACATGTAAAAATGCTCCATTTTTGTGGTCTCGTATAGCTGAGGCATTAGGATAGAATGGAACAAAGGAGCAAAGTTCATGTAACTAGCCCCAAATAGTTGGACAAGGCTACGTTGTTGTTGTATATGCCACCACATCAATGTGGTCTTCTGATTGAGATGACTCCTTGGTTGATAATCATTTTTTGCCTTGCATTTTTGTGGGGTTTAATTTTGTTGGGTTTTGGTTTTATGGTTTCTCGGATTTTTCAATTTGGCAAAGAAATGCTTTCTTCTTAGCTGAAAAATGGTTATCTTAATCATGCAGAAGTCAAGCTGTATCTCCCCCAGTTACATGGCTCACCAACCTGACATCAATGAGAAAATGAGGGCGATTCTCATCGACTGGCTTATTGAGGTACTATATTCGGACTTTGTTTGGCTTCATTTAAGATGTCCAAATTTGACTAGTAAGAGTTTGGAACCTGTGATGTGAATAGATTGTTAATAGGTTTGAATGTATTAACAGGTCCACTACAAGTTTGAGCTTATGGATGAGACATTATTCCTTACTGTCAATCTTATAGACAGATTCTTAGAGAGCCAAATGGTGATCAGAAAGAAGCTTCAATTGGTTGGTGTGACAGCCATGTTACTAGCATGCAAGTATGAAGAGGTTTCTGTCCCAATTGTAGAAGATTTTGTTCTTATATCAGATAAGGCATATTCAAGGAAAGATGTCCTTGATATGGAGAAATCAATGGTGAACAGTTTACAATTCAACTTTTCTGTTCCTACTCCATTTGTGTTCATGAAGAGATTCCTCAAGGCAGCTCAATCCGACAAAAAGGTCGGTAATAGTAACCCCACAGTATAAGAAGCAGTTAGATTTCACTTATCATTTCTCATTAAAAGAATGTATTAATACTTTGTACTCCTGGAATTGAATCAGATTGAGCTTCTGTCCTTCTTCCTCATTGAGCTATGCCTGGTGGAGTATGAAATGCTCAGGTTCCCCCCATCTAAGCTAGCTGCTGCTGCAATTTACACTGCTCAATGTAGTCTGTCCCGGTTCAAGCAATGGAGCAAGACCAGCGAGTGGTATACTAATTACTCAGAAGATGAGCTCCTGTAAGTATTGTTGAACTGAGTTTCATGATTCATAGCAATTTTATGGTATATAAATGAAGTAATAAAACTATAATTGGACCACATTCCCGTTTCATGATTATCAGAAAGCTAATGTTGTGTGTATTTTTTTGTATCAACAGAGAATGCTCAAGGATGATGGTTACTTTCCATCAGAAGGCTGAAACTGGGAAACTTACTGGAGTACACAGGAAGTACAGTACATGGAAGTTTGGCTATGCAGCCAAAGCTCAACCAGCTGCGTTCCTCCTGGATCTCTAACAGTGCTGACAGAGAACGTCAATCAAATTTAAGTGATCAAGACTTTCTGGTTTTCAAGGTCTTTCTTGAGTTGTCACTGAGCAACAGAAGTTGGCTTGGGGGGGTCTTAGAATATATCGGGTGGGTTTCTTTTGTTGACAACACCAACAACTATCTTTAATCTGCACTCTGCAGATAATGTGAATGTTTCTTTTTTGGTAGTTTTTCACTGACTAGTGTTTCCTGGAATACCAACGGTTTCTTCGATGTGATATATAACAGTTCCGTTTTATGTGAGTGGTAAATGTGTTTGCTCTCTCTGAGGTAATTTATTATTTTTTTCAACTTAAAGTCTAAACTGAATTTTTCAGTACATATTGCAAAAGCTTGGTATCCAGAGATTTCAGTCCAGGGTAATTTTGATCTGTTCAGAGTTTTTGTAATTAAAAAGATAAGATCTTTAATCTTCATTACCATTCCACTTTCCACAATTTCAACCCGTGGATTTGTTTGAGCACAATTCAAGTACTTTTTACCACTAAAAAACTACATACTCCTCATGGTTTAGCAAATAATGTGTTGCAAGCTTTTTTGGTTACATTGGAGGAAAGAAACCCCACTGGGGTTCGATCCTGGGTGCCATGGGAATCCACCTAAACCCTTCTCTTCCTCTTATTAAGCATTGAATGTAATAAGGTGGGTTGGGTTGGGTTGTTGAATCAGATTATAAACTGATTCAAGACTAGATAATGAGCGCATTGGCAGGCAAGAACGAGCCAGCCAATTACCTATAGATAAGTAGATGAATAGTTTTCATGAAAATATTTTAGGATGCCAGTTTTACCAATTGAGTTTTTAAATTTTTGAAACCTGTGAAGAGATTTTGTTAATGGGTTCAATTGTGTCAAAATGGGGTGGGTATAATTTGCATGTTTCTTTTTTCTTGTTGCTGTATTTTCATCAACTCATCTCATGTTACCAAGTTGGAGAAGTTACCATATAATTTTGATGCGAGGGGTAAATGTGTTTGCTCTCTGTACAAACAGTTTCATTTTATCTGAGATGGTTAATGTGGTTGCCACAGCTTTTTGTTCCCTTTTTTTTTTTTGGTCGAAATCTGATCTCATTAAAGAAACCCAGAAAGGATAGATTACAAAGCAAGTCACAAAAGCCGGGCAGAAGCAGCTAGACCTCAAGACAAGGCTAGAACCAAGCTTCTCACCCAGACCAGTTCAAAACTAAACAAAAACAAAATACATAAGATAACATAAAACAAGGAATTCAGAAATGCCGCACCACCCATTACCAATCAGCATTGTCCCAAGCGCAAGACCAAACCCACCGTAGAAGAACCCGTAACGAAAGGTACCAAAGGAAAATGGTGATGGATACGCCACCACAGCTACAACCTATTTCGGTTCTTAGATTACTTTAAATTTAGGACTTTATTTTTTTTTTATCAAAAATAAAAATATAGTTTAAGACTTTACTGAGACAAATAATAAAATTAGGAAAAAAAAAATGGATTTTGGGATTTCAGATGAGTTTGATACTCGAGTATAAAGAGGAAATGCATGCAGAGCCAATACAAAGAGTTCATTTTTCAGATGATATTTTTTTGGAGTTGATTTTCTCACTCCTTTTTTGTCCATTTATATTCGTTTTGTTAAAAATTGTATGTTATCACTTCTGTTTTGTCTACTTACACTCTCTTGTATGTTATAGTAAAAAGTATTTTAAAAAAACAAAACACAATGTAAGTGGACAAAAAGGAATGAGCAAATTAGCACTTTTTTAGTGTAAGTTTGATTTTCATGTTTAATTATTTTGCAAGGCAACAACTCTTTTATATGTCATTTAGTAAACACACAACTCACATATTAATTTTGAAATCACTAGACTTCCCATTTTTTACATGGCATTAGTAAACACAAGCCTTTACTTTGACTCGTTAGTGGGTTCATTAGTATGAAAGTGGAAGAATAACTTCATCACATTCGTCTTTCAATCCATTTTTATCGAAAAAATACAATAATCTATCAGAGTGAAATTGGTGAATTTTACAACCCACATATTAGTTTTGAAATCACTGGACCTCCCATTATCGTCATATCAGAACTGGTGAAAAGAGCCAATCTTGGCTGCAACATCCTGATTATTGATGTATATTTTTTGGTACAGAGACCCAGTTTTTGATGTTTTTTTGCTTGGGGAAGAGGAACAACCATGTCTATCAGAATTATGTAACATCATACAACTTTTTGGAAAAAATATTGTGGTCCCCCTCAGCAAGTATGGGTATTTTGAGATGCTACTACTGAAGAAACAGCAGATCATACCACCTAAAACTAGTACAGGAGTGGATTGTTCATTCTTTCTTTTGTTGTTCCTCCAAAATCTCAAAAAAGAAATAGATCCAAAACCAATCGATATGGAACTCAGGTTTTAAATTTGAGGAGAGCATCATAGATAGGGATCATCTATAGTTTCTTTCCACCAATCAGCTAACCAAACTAACAAAACATTCATTGGTCGGTGCAAAACTCTAATATGCAAAAAATTCCTGTCCTGTCAATATATAGAGCAATCGGGCTAGAATTGATGAGCCTTTACACATGGAAAATTGAAACTTAGCTGGATCAACCTATTTTAGTCAGTCATGAATTTTGTTTCAACGTGAAATATGTGGCCTCTCTGTTCTTGCAATGCGAAAGATGTGCCTTGAATATTCACACTAGAAGGCCATCTGGAAATAATGTTGTTTGGAGCTATATATATCACATTCGTCTTACAAGAAGTGCTTTTCCAAGCTTATGTGTGAAAAAACAAAGGAAGCAAGCTCAAAAGCGTTACGAGGCTGGAAAGAAGAAACACAACACTGAGAGAAATTATAGAGAGCAACATTATAAGTTAGATAGCAGAACAACACTTTCTGCTATTCTCAGGTGTATGATATATAACAAGTGAAAAAATAAATAGTAACTTCCTTTTTTCATCAGTAAGCTTTTCCGAATGATCAATATTTGCAAATTAAAACTACATCAATAAGGAAATTGATGGGATACATGTTGAGAAGCAAATCTATATTCTGCGGCCCATAAATTTAAAAGAAAACACACACACAGACACTCGGAAATATAGATGTACAGAGGAATTGAATTCCACAGCATCCCATGGTCATTGCTGCATTTCATATTCTGCAATTGGCAGCTGGACAATAAAGGAATGGCATAATGATATTAGATATATGTCAATTATTGATGAATAATATAGAAAATTAGTATATTTTGCATAACTGATTTTTCAGATAATCTGACATGGAGAAAATTATAACACCTTGAGCAATCCTTCTGTCAAAATGGATTCAATTTGATCCAGCAATTAATGAGACTACCACTTTTTTGCTAACGAGATTATAGGCGCAAATACAATTGAACTGGATTTTAAAGAGAGATATGGAGTTGCAAAGTCCTTCCCTTCTAGTCATTCTTAAAAAAGTGAACTCCAGGTATGGGCTAACAAGAAACTAATTGTTAATTAATCAAGATGTCCACAAGAAACAGGGAAAAAGTTTGACAGCAAGGATGCAGAAGGTGGGAATTCTACTTTGTTTTTTTCCCCTAATCAACCAACCTAATATTTTTATAATTAAATAACAATTTACATTGATGGGGATGTGCAAAACTGTAAGAAACAATAAATTCATGTCATACTGAATCAGGCACTTACTGCAAAAGACAAACTGGTTGAGATCCAGAGTCACTCTGCCTTGCTTAGCTGTATCAAATGAATTAAACAGATTACTGCAAGGAAAGAATGACAAACAACACCATTAGTCTTCGGAATAGCACATTCTAGAATTTTAATATTGGCATTTGTCTAACTTGATTTGATGCAAAACATCGAATTTTGAAATTTCCACCTGAAGTCATAGCATCACAAAATGGAACCTGACACATATGTGCGTATTTGTACATGTATGGATAATTTGTCTAATCTAACCTAGGAAAATATGATAGTCCTTATTAAATCTGAGTTAAAACCTCAAAATCAATGCATGAGCACCATTCTTCAAAACATATGCTTTTTGTGAATTGAAATGCAACCTACCGAGCAGACTGCAAAAATATACAGAGAGATATGAAGTCATCTAGTCGGAACATCCCTTTCTTCTTTTGATCAAAGCTCTGCACAATTAAGAGGAAAAAGAATTAGCTACATCAGCCTTATCAAACCTTGATTTCCCCGCCGTGGCGCGGGGGGGGTTGTGGTGTGGGGTGGGGGTGTGAGTAAATTAAACATTCATCACAGCAGACCAGCGCACAACCAAAAGGATAATATTAGAGTCATTTTATGTAGAAAGCGGATGGTATACCTCACAGACTGTGTAGAAAGCGGGAGAGTCCAGCGAGAAACCAATTTTTACCAATGCCTGTCGCAATGGTTGAGCAATAAAATTCAGAAAAGAAATGAAAAATAAGAGAAAGGCCAGGGAGGAAAAACTAACAGACTTCCCATTACGATACCGTCAAAGGATATATAAAGACACGAACTTCAATTTTTCATCCAAGGGTTAGATATTACCTCATGCACATCATCAGGAACAATATAGCCACGACCCCTGTAAAACAAACCAACAAAATTAGACAGTTGCTAAATGCTTACAACTGTATGTGAAGCAATTATCCTCATCACCATTTGCAACTAAAAGGAGAATATAGATTATATGCACAAATTAATACGTAAGTTGTAGGCATAGTGAAATGTATATTATGCATGGTGGGCAGAATATCAGAGGAGCATAAAAGTTATCGCCAAGCTTTGCATTGCTCAAACAACATAAACTTTATAAAGTGCTCGAATTACGTAAGATGCCCAAGTTCTGCAAAAGACTATCAAGTGAAAATTTAGTTTCCATGGACAAAAACTAACTGCCGATGTCTATTATACTTGGTAGAGTGCATGATCTACGAGGAAAAACATACACCGTCAACCACGTCTTAAAGCAGCCAACTTTGCTTCATACTACCACGGTTGAATCTATCAAATACACCTTTAATTAGTTCGATATGAAGACAATGCACCTCACAAAATCATGAGACCCTGTTTACCAGAGTGGACAAGAAAAAATCCTTAAATATATTGAATCACCTCTCTCGGTCTGAGAAGGCTTGTTGAACCTGAAAAGAAGACAGAAATCGAAACAAAACTACATATAAGTTGTAGGAATACTTGGCACAAATCGGCATCCTCAAATTGAGGTATTACATTTTCAGAAAATAAGGGCTTGAACATTTAAAGAGTTGAGTTGATAGTAACAGAGTAAAGACATAACACAACCACATATCACCAAAATTACAAGACAGACAGGAAATGTTGAACCAAAAATTGCAATTTCATGATTAAATTTTTCACCTTGAGAAGGAACTTGTTGAGCGCCACAAACTCTGAGACCCAAAAGTGTACAAAATCAGTGAACCCATATGACAAAATCATAATATAAACAAAGAGGATACAAATTGCAGTGTTAAGCATAAAATTACCAATGAAAGTTAAAACTTCTGCATTGATATAAGCATACCTTCAAAGCTCATCGTCCCATTCCGGTCAAAATCATACATCCTGCAAAAGGCTACATATTTATCAATTATCTGTGCAAGTGAAGTAAACATATACAAAAAGATGGTGTGAATTTATATGTATCTGGACCTGATCATTTGCTGAACAACTGAGATAGGGAAGTCGAGGTTTCCAACAGCAAGAGCATTCTGATCATCGATACGTCGTCGTTAATCAGGTGAACGCAGAGGGAAAAAAAGAAATTTGGGAATTTGGGAAGTTTAGGGTAAATGAGATGAAGAAGAAGAACCTTGAGCTGCGGTGCAGTGATGTTTCCCGTGTTGGACGAGTCAACTCGGGCGAACCATTCTCTCAGAACCGCCGAGTTCTCCATTTTCTATCCGAGACTGAGAGTGACGTTGTAGAAAGAAAGCTCGATGCTTTCCTCTTCCAATTCTTTAAATCGTCTGGCGACGGTGTCGTTTCGTTCACTTCACCCGCCTTATTTACATGCCAGAATTGTTTGTTAACTCCGTTTTACAACTCGTGTGTGGGGTTCTAAACCTAAAGCTTCAAATTTCAGTGGTAAAAAAAGCACTTAATTACGCTCACATCCACGGTAGAAATTTGACTCTTGTTCTCAGCTCTCTCTCATTCATAATTCTTAGATAATTTTTTTCCTCTCGCAAATAAAATATTATAATCCGAATTAAACCGGCTTTTAAATTGATTTTTTTGTTGTTGTCAAAATTAGGAACACACACCATCAAGGAATTATGAATATTCGAACTTGAGACTACTTTTCTACAGGATAATGCTATTTTTCATTAGGCTAGACCTTACTGACTAGTCTTTAATTCGATTCAATTGTAATACTAATTCGATACAAGAATGTCAATCACTAGATTAATCTAATAAATTTTAATCAATCCATATCAACATAATTGTATTAGACTAAAAATCACTTGTTGCACCTTGTCACTTACCCATTTCTCCTGCTTTTCCCTTTCTCTCCTATTAATACTTATCATTTTATTAATTATCTTCGCTTTCTCTCCCATAAATTATTATCATTTTATTAATTACCTTGAATTTCCAGTTTCCACAAATTTTTAAAAAATATTAATTACCTTCATTTTGTCAGATTTGCATTTGTTTCTCCAAATGTTATCTTTTTATTTTAGCGTTTTAGAAATTGAATTTCAACATGCTGTGATGTCATGATCTCTTTAATTTTGTTTGCTTCTAGTTTATGTTATCTTTTTATGTTCTTAGGGGAGAGAGAGAGAGAGAGAGAGAATTGGAATGCTACATTAATTTGAGGTGAGATTTAAATATAACCAAAACCGTACTCACCCTAAATACAATATGAAATCTCTTGTGAAAAAGTAGTTGTACATTTTCTCACGCGCATTTAGACAATCGGCCGTCATGGTTACAAATAATTGGCTACAACAAGTTTGATAAGTAGTTGATATCCAAGACACATATTTCACATTGCATGAACAACGTGGCCACATGTTTCACATTGCAAGAACACAGCGAGGCCACATGGTTCTCATTGCACCTGCTACCTGGAGAAACCATGGCTCCATCCATTCATTATTAATAAAAAAATCATATCATTAATACGTTCATCTTTGTAATTCGGATACAAAGTTGAACTATACCAAGAGAGAATTCAAATTAATTTTAAAAAATGATAGGAAAGAAATGCTCATAAAGAATAGGAAAGAAATGCAGAGTCTAAGCAACCAATAAATTAAAGATGAAGAACACCATGATCAAGAAGGAAATGATAGATGATGAGGAAGATAACATCACTTATATATAAGAGAGAAAAAGTATTATTCGAATAAATAATATGATATGTACTATGTAGTTTGAAAAGATAAGTTTCATACTAAAGTTGACTATCGATATGATATTCCGGTTTTCATCGCAAATGATTACTCATTAAACTTATTTAATTTAAAAATTTACAATATACTATTAAACTAAAAATAAAGGAAAAAAAACAGACATAGATTAAGTCAGTTGATCAAAATAGTGTGTTCGCTTCTACTCTCGATGGACTACCCTCTTCGTACATTAAAATGGTTTAGAATATAATTTTGTTATAAATAATTATAAAATTAAAAAAAAAAAAAAAAAAGATGCTCTCCACTCACTCCTATAGAAGAGGTGTCACGTGCCGCGTCCGTGTCAACTTTCAGATGGTTCTACAGTGCGAATTTCGTGAGGTTTATAATGTCTACTTGATTTTCACAAGAACGATACTTCTCTCTGTGTGGCCAAGTCGACGAAGCTCTGTAAGTGGTCTCGGAGCCTTATCTTCCTCTTTTACCTCCATCATATTGATTGGATATCTGATTAATTGACATCGGCAATCAGTTCATATGCTTTTAGTTTCTGAATAATCTGCTTGGTTGCTGGTAAAGTGTGGGAAAATGATTTCAATTTACTTCCTTTAATGTATTTGACTTCCATTATCTGAGAAATTGGACCTAAATGAGCTCACTTTTATTAGTCGAGCTGAGTTTTTACCTTTTTGTTAATAACCCAATATAATTAGATTGAATATCTTCTGTTCTTTTTTGTCTTTTCATGATTTCAAATTTGTTACAGTTCTTCTGGATTTTCCCCCCCTCTTTCTTATGTGATTGATCTAATTGATTTCCAATGTACATAAAGTTGATTTTGTTTTTGTTCACTTTTGACTTCTGAAATTGCTGAATTGGAATAATTACTGAAAAATCCAATTGTATTTTGTGAAAATGATTCTTATATGCAGTGTTTATGGGTATTATTAGAAATCCCAAAGACTGATAATCCACTTTCGGGGGACCATTCCTAGCATTTTTCTTCTCAGCTGGTTTTAGCTGCCAGTTTTTGACTGAGTATGGTTTGTATGATAAAATGTACAAGAATATATGCATTATAATGGTTTAGTGTAATGGTAACACACGCACAGCTTAGGCATGCAGTGGAGTGGTGATCTCTGAACAAATTATGGCATTAGTTTCTGGTTTTCCTTGCACCCATTTTCCCATTTTGTTTCTTTGCCAACCTTTTTTTTGGGTACTTTGCATGAATACCATATATTAGGTTGTGTGTTTTGGTATCTATGTAACTTGTAACTATCAATTTATGCTTATTATTCATCGTCTGGTTGAACAGGTCCATAGTCTGTGGTCTGTGGTGATTCAGCACCTTGTGCATATGTTTGTGAATTGATGATTCCATTATGCTGGCAATATTTGAGAATATAGGCTGGTTAAAAGGAAACACAGCTGATGAAGATAACACCATTTATCGATCTCGTTACCCAGTTGGCCTACACACCTCCTACGTGGGCAAGTCTAGTTTCCGGTGTTTTTGTACTCATCACTCTTACCCTTTCAATATATCTTGTGTTTGAGCACCTTTCTGCATACAAACATCCTGAGGTATTCATTCGTCAGTGATACAATTTATATTTAAAATGTGCATGCTTCAATATTGATGTATTGCTAATTGACATGCATTTTACCATTTTGGTTTGTGTTAACCTTTCAGGAGCAAAAGTTTTTAATTGGTGTTGTCCTCATGGTTCCGTGCTATGCAGTAGAATCAGTAAGTTTTTTTGGTTTAAATTTATTTTTGTTTCGATATAAATTTTTTCTTTTATTTTAATAAAGAACCACATGGAATCACATAATTCTTTGTTTATTTTTAAATCAGACCTCTATTTGGGGTTATAGGATTCACCAAAACATATAAGTTAGTTTTGAAAAGCGGGATAGGAGAGAAAAGGTAGGGAAAGCAGTTCAGGAAAAGAGAGGGATTATGGTGTACACATGACGTTTGTGCTTTCAGTTACTGTCAAGGAGAATGTTGTGCGGCAAAATGGTTTGTTGCTTAATGTGCACGGTGAACCTTCAATTCGGTTTTAACATACGAAAGATGTTGAGTTTATCAATTTTGATATATATTTCTTTGGTTCTCAAACATCTGTGTTTCTTTTTGACACATCTGGAAGATGCTGAGTTGAATATACATGTATTGTTCATTAAGTTGCTGCTACCGTTTGTGAAGATTAAGTTCTTATATTAGCTTTAAAAGTATCGTTGTTGCTTATTGTTGGTTGTACTTGTATGTCTGTGTTACCGAAAAAGTATTCTGCCTCAGATTGTTGGCATTTTCGTTGTTTGTAAGATTCTAACTTGGTTGTTTTTTACAGTTAATATCGTTGGTGAATCCATCGATAAGCGTTGATTGCGAGATTCTACGGGATTGCTATGAATCCTTTGCCATGTATTGCTTTGGAAGATACCTGGTTGCATGCTTGGGTATGTCATTTTCAAGAGCTTTTACAACACCATTATTTATGTAGAGTTTCATAAAGTTTAGAAGCTTTAGCTAACACGTCATTGAAACTTAAAATGTAGAAGCTTTATGCTAGTAAATGTTAATCAGAATTCAGATGTTAACGATCTTTAATTGAATGTGGACAAGATTTCACTGTTCATGCACCAGTATGATGCAAGATTGGCCTGCTGGATGCAATGTGATAGATGTTCGTTCGCTGTTCTTGCATACACATTCAATTCTCTCTCTCTCTCTCTCTCTCTCTCTCTCTCTCTAGATAGATGCACAAATAAATACCTATCATGGACGCTCATATGATGACTATATCAATTTATCACAGTTGCCACTTTTAATCCTAGTCTTTATATGGGAATTTCAAGTAATCAATGTTTGATGGTGCACATAAATGTCCAAGATGTTTTTCCTTTTCAATTTGTAGTCCTTTCTGTTTTAATAGACAAAGATACTTCTTTGCTTCCCTTGTTTATGTTTTGCGCTTTTGACATTTTCCTTTTGTATATATATTTTTCTCCTTCTAAGGTGGGGAAGAGAGGACTATCGAGTTTATGGAAAGGGAAGGACGTGCAAGTTCTAAGACTCCCCTATTAGAACATAGTTCTGAAAAGGGAACTGTTAAGCATCCTTTTCCATTGAATTATATCTTGAAACCATGGAATCTTGGTCAATGGTTTTACCAAATTGTCAAATTTGGAATTGTTCAGTATGTATGTTTGCCATCACTTTGAAATTCTTTTATTACTTTCTGCTGTTTCTTGTTCTCTAATTTCATTTCCCTTATATAACTTAAATTCACTTTTTATCTTCTGCCAGATGTTAATTAAGTCTCTCAGTGCTATTTTAGCTGTTATCCTTGAAGCTTTTGGTGTATATTGTGAAGGAGAATTTAAATGGGGATGTGGGTAAGAGAATCTCAATTGTTTTTGGAAAAGCATTTGTAATTTGAAATGGTGCACGTAATTGGCAGTTATATGTGATAGGATAAGTTGGTTTGTTTGTATTTTTTTTCCCAAGAAGCTCTTTAACACATAGAGGGAATCTAATGGCCATAATTTTCTTTTGTTTGCAGGTATCCTTATCTTGCAGTGGTTCTAAATTTTAGTCAGTCATGGGCGTTGTACTGTCTTGTTCAATTTTACGCTGTTACAAAAGATGAACTAGCTCACATAAAACCATTAGCCAAGTTTTTGACATTTAAATCAATTGTTTTTTTGACATGGTGGCAAGGCGTGGCAATTGCTCTTCTTTATGCCCTGGGTTTGTTCAAAAGCCCTATAGCTCAAGGCTTACAGTTTAAGTCAAGTGTTCAAGACTTCATCATTTGTATAGAGGTAGAATATTAATGATGCAGAATGTTGGGTAAATCAATTAACATGTCGGAACAGCACATGTTATTATGTCTTTTCAATCTTTATGCACTATTATAGTCTTCACAATGATAATTTATTCTCCCTTAAACTTATGAGTTAATGTGGTCTCCAAAGTTATTAAGAATGTGAGTTAAAATATTCATTCTTGTTACCATTTTCATGCAACATGTTTTAGTTTAACAGTTCTGTGTTTTTATCCTGCACAGATGGGCATTGCTTCTGTTGTTCACCTATATGTGTTTCCTGCAAAACCTTATGAGCTGATGGGAGATCGTTACACTGGAAGTGTCTCAGTTCTTGGAGACTATGTATCGGCTGACAGTCCTTTGGATCCTGAGGAGGTTAGGGACAGTGAACGCCCCACGAAGCTACGCCTTCCCAATCCTGACATTGATGTCAGGAGCGGAATGACCATAAGAGAAAGTGTTCGGGACGTTTTCGTTGGTGGCGGAGAATATGTAAGTCATCTTTTTAGTCTTACAGTACAAATTTGAATATATCCTGGAATATGGAACTAATAGATGTCAACAGATTCTGAAGCAAGGGTTATTATGAACTATATTAAAACAACAATAGTGTAACACCTTAGTATAGCCAATAAGAATTTGCACAATACTGTTGATCTTATTTAGACTTAGTTCTGAATCTGCTCTTTGCTTCTACTACAGATTGTGAAAGATGTGAGGTTCACAGTAACACAGGCAGTAGAGCCGGTAGAGAAGGGGATCACCAGGTTCAATGAGAAGCTACACAAGATCTCCCAAAACATTAAGAGACATGACAAGGAGAAAAGAAAAACGAAAGATGACAGTTGTATTTCCGCATCATCACCAGCACAGAAGTTGATTCGTGGGATAGACGACCCTCTTTTGAATGGAAGCATGAGTGACAGTAGTGTTGCAAGGGGAAAGAAGCATCGTCGAAAATCTGGATATACCAGTGCAGAGAGTGGGGGAGAGAGCAGTAGTGATCAAAGTTACAGTGGGTATCAGGTAAGAGGCCTTAGGTGGGTAACCAAAGATTAGAATAGGAATATGATCATGGCAGTTTTCTCATCAGAAGCTGTGGCCTGGCCTGTGGGTTATCCATTGTTGTCTGCTTGGCTATATTTTTATCTCAAGGGGTTGTCTTATTGTTTCATCCATTTCATTTTCATACACGAGGATGGTGAGAACTCTTGCCTCCTTTTTTGGCTAGAGGCATGAGAATTGTAAATGGTGTCTAGAGGAAACATTTTATTTAGGATGATGTAATTTGCACATTTATGTTGCGGACAGTAATGCAACAGCGAAACTTAGAATTTTTTTTTTTTTTTCTTCATGTGAGGGTATGCGGCTTTAAATTAAAATTGAGTAGAACTCATGTAATTTGAGGATCTGAGATAGATATTGAAACAAATAGAAAAAGAAAAAGAAAAGTTAAAGAAGCTACTTTTAAACGTTGAAGTTAATTATAAATGAATTATAAGAAAATTGCCAAATGGGAAAAAATCAGCATAAGTAGAGGAACGTGATGGGAGTAGCAACTCTCAAAGCTCTCAGGTGAGTCTGGACTTTTATGGGTGCAAATGCAATGGACTTCTTTAGGGTTTTATATTTTCTTTCCTGGGCATATTATTTCCCCTTTAAATTAACAAAATTAGAAAACAAACAAACGAACATTGATAGAAGGATTCAGAAACTAAACTTATAATTAATAAACTAAAGCTGCAATACAACTCAGAAAAAAAGTGTTATTGAAGCATCATATCACATCCACAACACTTCATATATTTATACCATAAATCGTTCATATGTTAACTTAATAGTTACGATTTTCTTCTGTATATAAATTATATGACGTGACCATGCTCCAATAACTTCATTCGATAGTATATTGATCATATTCAATTTAAATGATCTTAATATCTAAACAGCATAGAATTAGGTATTACAATTTTATTTTATATAGTTTCCCAATTCCTAATTTCTTGTGAATTTTATTTTCAAAGTTATGATTTCCTAGTCAAATAGGGTTAAGCTTTTCCAGTTTAAATAGGGTTAAGCTTTCCTAGTGACCAACAAGATATTACGTTTTACTATTTAAGCTTATGCCGTGATCTCTCCCTGCGTAAAATATATATCCTTTGATCTCCATCAAAATATCCTCAATTGATCCTCTTTTTGCCTGAAAATTGAAAGAAGCAATCAATGTCTAATATTCTCGGGCTTCTCCTTGTTGTTCTTTTCTATGGTCTAATGTATTCTCTTGTTCTCCTCTTTTTTGTCTCTCTTATATTCCTTGCTGGTTTTCTTCATCAAAGATTTATCAACAAACCAGAGGACGTCCACCGCGATGTACAGCCATCTAAGCGAAGGCGACAAAAAATTCGATAGTAACCCAATCGGCTACCACTACATGCATGTTACATCATCAAACGAACAAAGTTTTTGACAAAAGCAAAACGGCATGGACATACTTGAACTTCCGAGATATTTTGTGATAAAAACTAATTTTTTGTTTATTTTTTTACACCTTTTTTTTTCTCCATGTGGTACCCATTACAGGTTGATATGATTCGTCACTGTGGCTATTTTTGTAGGCCCATTGGGGGAGTAGTTTGTACACCCTTTTTTTTTTTTTCTGTTCTTATTAATTTTACTTTTCTTGTTTGCTTCCAAAGTTTGTTGTTTGTCTTGAATCAATAAAATCAAAACTTCTTATGAGCTTGTCATCTACCAACGTACAGAAATTGTTGTTTGAATCTTGTTCTTTAAACGGGGCATGACTATGGACTGGCAATAGGATAGAAATAGGTTAGGCCAAATACTAAAGGAACTAAGAATCCTGTGAGATCTTCATGAAATAAGAATCCTAATTAACCCGAAACTCAATTACTTGGAAACCAAATTAATGTTTAGGGTTCTACTGTTATATTATTTATAATTAAATGGCTAAAGAAGGAGCCCAAAGGCCTAGTGCAGAAGCCTACTGTCAAATGCATAACATACTGATTACTGAATATCTCCGAGCTTGGCAATTTGGTAAAACCATTTATCAATTGGGAAGTGATGTACTATTTCTTAGTTGATGACGTGTATAAAATTTATTTTAATCCTTTTCAATGACAACTACCGCTATAAATAATCTCAGTTTTTCTGAAATTATAAAGAAAAAGAAGTTTCTTCAGAGATAATACTCATATAATTGCCCGGAGCTCTGCAGTCTGCAAGGAAAATTTCCGGTGCTGTGACAAGACGGGAGGGGTTCGAACTGCTTGAATTCTTGATGCCAAGTCACTATAACTGGATCCTGTGTCTAGCGCAGCATTCAGTATTGTCTGCAAGATTTGTAGGGTATCGCCATGACTAACAACTAAGATGGCGCACCTGTAGATTGAACATATGTTACAGACAAACACATACTTAAGAAGATACGCAGGCAATAAATGAGAAGACTTAATTTAACACAATGGCAGTTAAAAGAGAAAAGCAGTGGTGCAGCTGGATAGATGGTCTTATGCAGCTAACAGAAAAAGGACTCTAACTGAGAAATTAAACTGAATTAATCCATGAAGAATTGCAAACTAACTGAGAAATTACAATTAAAACTTTTTCATCCTTAGTTCTAAATTCAATCTCTCTGAATGGATGTTCTTTCCTATGGAAGTTATTGGGAAAAAGGCTTTGAAGTCTCACGCCCCAACTGCATGTATTCTATTTTATGTCTCTGCAATGCCAATGTGTCGTGGTGATATGCTATGTAAAACATGATGAACTGATTAACAAACGGGGTTTTCGAACAGTATATGAGTAAAGAGTCCGATATCATCACAGAAGATGCTTGTAGAGTTCTTAAAGATGTTTTGCAAACATGAATACACTTCAGCAAATTAGGAATACCAAATGCATCTATATACAATTACCCTTGAAATTGTGACTCCATAGTTGCAATAGCTTCTGCAAGTCTACACGCAACATCATCAACACTTTCTCCTCCTTCTGGCCTCGTGAGTGGATCTTTCCCATCAAGAGCCCATATATCGTGATACTGTCGGTAAGGGAAAAGAGAATTAAGACAGCCTCAGTAGAGGAGGATAATAAGTTAGCTCCAGTTATAAATTAGACAATACAGATAAGCCTTTGATCTGCCAGTTTAATCACTGGAAAAACAACATCAGCACCAATAGACTTACTTTATCATGTGACAGAAGCTCATATGAAGGACCAAAGAAGCGTTCACGAAGATTTTCCATCACCTGTCCAGAAAAATCTACTTAATAGTGCAACAAGGGGGAAAGATCACTGGTTTGACAGATCCATCATACATTAGTATTATGCTTTGGGGCTGGACCATCTTACCTTACATTGAGCACCCTCAAACTGAATGTTCAAGACAGATGCAACTACTTGAGCAGTGTGAGTTGTTCTCGAAAATGGAGAGTAGCAAATGTGAACACTGTCAATCGGTATGTTATTTTCTTCAAGTACCTGACATGCAAGACACTTCTTAACTAACCTTACATAATGCTTAGCTTAAATAACAACCAACATCAGCATTATGCATTCTAGTTTATGCTAACCAAATTTCAAACACTAATCACATTTCCAAATTTCTGTTGGTTTTCTTTGTTAATTCATCAAATCAAATCTTTACCCCTCTCTTGGTCTCCACCTGATTAAACCCTTTAAAACCACTACATCTTGTTCATATCAGTGGTCAATTAGCAGAACCATTTAAAACCATGAAAAGATCAGAGAAGATATATCAGATGATTATAATGGTCCAAGAAAGCTGTACACATAAAGATTCAAACTTTTTGAAATGTGAAATATGCATTAAAAGCAAAACCCACAAAATTGAAAGCTTAAAACACAAAGCAAGTACCTTTTGGAACAATTGCCCAGCCAACTGTGCCTGACTTACACCTTCTGGCGCCAATTGATATTCTGGGCGCGTACCATTTTCCTGTCAAGAAATGTTAGCCATGTGTCAAATACTAAATAGTCAAAAACTGAAGGACCAAAAAACAAATTAAGGAAAATTAAAAGAAACAAAAAAGAACCATGGAGGAAACAATGATGCCTCTCTCATTCGGAATGCTCTTGCCGTGCCGCAGTACCCAGTATCTGTTGCTCAGAAACGACGTCGTCTCAGCCATCTCGAAACCGACCACCACCACACACCTCTTCTTCTCTGCTAGTGTTTGCAATTTTATTGGTGGCTTTTACGAGATCCCATTGGTCAGCATATGAGGCCAACCAATGAAATAATTACAACTTTATTGTTACATGTCGTGGCGCCTTCTTATTGGCCTAAATAGACTACTTCCCGTGGAACCTACCGTAGAGGAACTACTTCTCTTTTGACATCACAGGACTCAAGTTTAACCCGCAAATTTGCGGAGCTCTTCGGAAATCATAAAACTTCACATCGAACCAAAATTGCTAGTGAGTCTGGGAGTCTTTGCTACGCGGAAGGGTATAGATTTCACGGCCATGGCTCTCAATCTGCGGCAAAGGCAAACAGGTAAATTGCTCTCTTGGTCATTTAGTTGCTCTAGATCTCTGTTTCAACCAAACCAAGGATGTAAAAATGAAAATACTGTGGAATTAATCGAGAACCCATTTAGCTAATAGAGAAAACGCAGGTGAATTTATAGTGGAATTACCATTGGAGTTGATTAAATTTGCTTACTTTGTTGTGGGTTTTTGTTATTGAATTTGATCTGTGATTTTAGTTTGAGAGCTGTTTTTTTCTGCTTACAAAAAGAGGAACTGAAATGTCATATGCTAAACGAAATTTTATTTGATTCGTCTGATTGGGTTTGCATATATTCGATTTAGTTTTCTGAATTTTTAGTAAAGTATTGAATTTGATCTGTGATTTTTGGGTTCAGAATGTATTACTCGTATGTTGAATCTGAACCAACCCGTTAATGCAACTGGTATGGCCAACGAAGAGGTGTACAAGATCTTGATCTATGATAAGTTTTGCCAAAACATACTCTCCCCATTGATCCATGTTAAGGACCTTCGTAAGCATGGTGTGACCCTTTACTTCCTCATTGACAAGGACCGCAAACCCGTTCACGATGTTCCCGCTGTGTACTTTGTCCAACCCAGCCATTCCAACATTCAGAGGATCATTGCTGACACCTCCAGCTCGCTCTATGATAGCTTCCATCTCAATTTCTCGTCCTTGATTCCCCGTCCACTGCTTGAGGATCTGGCATCTGGGACTTTGAATTCAGATTCAATTCATCGGATTTCGAAGGTGCATGATCAGTATTTGGAGTTTGTGACACTGGAAGATAATTTGTTCTCATTGGCACAGAAGTCCAGTTATGTTCAATTGAATGATCCCTCTGCAGGGGACCGTGAAATTGAGGAAATTATTGACAAGATAGTTGGTGGGTTGTTCTGCGTTTTGGCTACCCTTGCTGTTGTCCCAATTATAAGGTGTCCTCGTGGTGGACCGGCTGAGATGGTAGCATCAGCATTGGATCAGAGACTGCGTGACCACTTGTTGTCAAAGAACAATTTGTTTACGGAAGGTGGAAACTTTGTGAGCTCTTTCCAGCGCCCGATACTGTGTATATTTGATCGTAATTTTGAGTTATCTGTGGGAATACAGCATGATTTTAGGTACCGACCATTAGTGCATGATGTTCTTGGATTGAAGCTTAATAGGTTGAGTGTTCAAGGTGAAAAAGGCGGGATGAAGTCATTTGAGTTAGATAGCTCAGATCCATTTTGGGTAGCAAATGGATCTTTAGAATTTCCTGAAGTAGCAGTGGAGATTGAGACCCAATTGAATAAGTATAAGAGGGATGTTGATGAGGTCAATAGAAGAACTGGGGGGGCTGATGGAGCTGAGTTTGATGGGACAGACATGATTGGGAACACAAAACATTTGATGAGTGCAGTGAATTCATTGCCAGAGTTGACCGCGCGGAAGCAGGTGATTGATAAGCACACCAACATTGCAACTGTGTTGTTGAGTGAGATCAAAGAGAGACTGCTTGATTCTTTTGCCAAAAAGGAGTACGACATGATGGTTAGAGGGGGCATTGATCGAAGTGAACTTTTGGGTGTACTTAGAGGGAAAGGGAGTAAGATGGATAAGCTGCGGTTTTCTATCATGTATCTTATTTCTTCAGAAAGCATTAATCAGGCAGAAGTGGAATCAGTGGAAGCAGCCCTCAGGGAGTCTGAGGTTGATACCCGTGCATTTCAGTATGTGAAGAAGATAAAGGCATTGAATGTTTCATTAGCATCAGCCAATTCTGCTAGCAGAAGCAACATAGTCGATTGGGCGGAGAAACTATACGGGCAATCAATAAGCGCCGTGACAGCAGGTGTGAAAAATCTGTTATCCAATGATAGACAGCTAGCATTAACAAGAACAGTGGAGGCCTTGATGGAGGGGAAGCCAAATCCAGAAATTGATTCTTACCTTGTGTTTGATCCTCGTGCCCCGAAGTCAAGCTCAGGAATGAGTAGCAGCCATTTGAAAGGACCTTTTAAGGAAGCTATTGTCTTCATGATTGGTGGTGGTAATTATGTGGAATACGGGAGCCTGCAAGAGCTTGTACAACGTCAACAGTCTGTCAAGCATGTTATCTATGGAACAACAGAAATACTCACAGGAGAGGAGTTTGTGGAGCAGCTTGCATTATTGGGGCAGAAAATGGGATTGGGTGGTGCTCCTCCTGCTGCTTCAACTCAGTGATACTTAAATCCTGCAATTCAGTGGTTATTTACTCATGAACGAGGACGATTATGGGAAGTTAAGAAACCATGCGGAAGACTCTATAAATTTGTTGCATGTTTTTGGTTAAGTGATATAAGGACAGGTATGTTCTGTGGTTCCCTTTCTTTCTAAGCCTGTATGGTGTTTTCAGACGAGATTACGTCGACTTTCTCACAGGATCAGAAGTTCTTTAGCAATCACGTAACTTTTGTATTTCATTGAACTGTAAGTGTTATGGTTGGAAAAAAGCTTACAAGTCTTACCTTTTATTGATGTACCTGAAATTCGAAAGCTGAAGTTTGAAGTATAATATGTTTTACTTTCTTCAATAGATTGATTTGATTGTTAACGAGATGTGAATTAATTTATGTATGCAATTTTTGTGCTTGTTTGCGTGGGAAATTGGGTGGAATTATTGCAAACAAAGTTCAGTAACTAGCTTTGTTTTCAGCCGCTCTACTTCAACTCCTCCATGTGAACTCGTGAGTTCATTAGAAAATTGTTTATATAATTCCTTAGGAGTGATTATTTGATTAGAGAATTGGTGACAAGACATAGCTGGACATACTGCACTGACCGACACTGTGTCGCCAGCCAGTGACCCTCCTGCAGGCGCCACTCCGAATAGCCTCCTCTGTTGTACAGTACAATGTATCATGATTCATGATGAGGCAACACAAATTATAAACATGCATATGAGCAAATGCAGCAAATCTTAAGTATGTAATTCTCGAAATAACGCAAATGTCATAAAGCTACACATAATCTGAAGTTCTGAAGACATTAAAATTTAATTTTGGCATATTCACAATAGTGGCATCTCAAGAGACCAAAAAGGCATCAGCATTAATGTGATTACAAGTTTTGAGAGCTGCAGAGCAATTACCAACAGCTCCAGCAATGAAATGTGCCCAATGTCTCCCAAGGCTTGACCCTAGTAGAAGATATACCCTCAAAAAAAGGAGCTATGTATTATTAATTAGTGCAAGGGCAAGGGGACAACTAGACCGAAAGGTCCACCCAACTAGAACGTGGCTTTATTGCAAAAAAGTCCTCTAATTTACTAACATTTTCCTATTCCCTCCCTCAGTCAACCACCAGCTCAACTTCAACTCCTCTGCTCAAACTCGGCCCTCCCCAAACCCGACGACGCCCACCTCCCTCCAGAAAACCCAGAACCGTAACCCTAACCCGATGGCTCGGCG